ATTGAGATAAACAAAACAAGCAACATACTGAGTAGGAGGGATGATGCCCTTAACATGACAGACTAAAGCTCATCATGTTCACAAGAGAGTTCGCTGGGGTCTTCTTCGCTTAATCCAGAAGTGACAGCTTCATGATAATATTTCTCTAAACCCTTATAAATGATAAATCCTTCTACCGTTTACGGTAAGACCAATTTACGAATCCCACCCACCAGTCTTTTAAAACGTAACAAAAATTACGCCTTTTCAATCTATCGTGGAACTATTCAAAGGCCACCTTCTCATAATGTCGAATAATAAATAATCAATGTATTTTAGGGAATTCTTCCAAAGTAAAGTAAGCTTATTCACTTTAGGTGCTAGTTGGTTGAGGAGGCACTCTTAAGCTCAAATTTTCCTTGACAAATAAACTATTTTTTCATTTATAATTAGGGTTTCGTGACTATAGTAAATATAGGATGTATTTAACTATTCCGTCTAAGTTGATGATAAACTGGTTGTTGAAATTTCCCACAATGGTATGAATAGAGCTGACGTTTCCATTGAAATTCACAGCCTTGTTTTCCCAAAAGATTTTCTCATCCAAGGTGAGCTGAAGTTTAAACCTCGCCTAGGTCCTATCAACATCCCAGAAGGAATTGAACCATGACAGTGTGGCATGCAATCTCGACACATTAACCACTACGCCACATTGCCACGAGTTCCCTTGGGTGATAAAGCATATTTGAATTTTAAGGAAGGCCAGACATTTTCCCATATTACATTCTTTAGTGGGATTTTCGATGAACTAAAGTTATATCAAGTGGGTTGACCTCGTCGCAACTTGGTCTTGTTGTCAGGGTGACTTAGTAGAATGCACTTAGTCCAAAGTCGTCTGTCATAGTATTTGTCATGATTCCCGGCATCAGACAGTGGATTTGGTACATTCTCAAACGTTTCGCCGGCATCGTAGTCGGCATCACCAGTGAGATTTGCCATTCTTCACACAAAGCTACAAACTAGTCAAAGAGATAAGTGAAGTCAACCCACTTCTTTAAATCGAAAGGAGACTTCGACCATGCCTAAGGCCACAACATCTTGTTCTTCATATCTTCAAAGTTATATTAAATTCAATAGAAGCGTTAGCTCAACTTATACAATTGTGTAAAAATTCCACTCCTAATCCGTCATCACCTTGAACAAAATAGGGCGAATACATCTTATATAATTAAAATTTCTGCCTCAAATAAATATCGTAGATAGAAAGACCAAGATGGTGTGACCTTCTGTCTGTTCGCAGTCTCCTTTAGATTTATTGTGTTGGCTCGACCTCATTTTCGCAACTTGGTCGGAGCATCAGGGAGGCCTTGTGTAACGTTCCTTGTCATGCGTCCTCTGTCATAGTATTCGTGATTTTCAGCTTTAGACTATTGGCTTGGTACATTCCCAAACATTTCACAGGTATCGTAGTCGGCATCCTCGGTGAGAGGACCCATCCTTGGCACAGTTAAAACTTATCAAAGTGACAAATGAGGACAATCCGTTTGACTAACTTTCTGTTTAACCGTTCTGGCATCGTTCCTTGCCCTTATTTTTTCTCATACCTTCTAGTGAGACGAATTTGTGAATCCTTTCCAAACAACCCTTTACGAAATACTAGTTCCATCATCAGGAAACCTAGCTTTTCATCATGTTTAGCAGCCTTCTAAATGACTAAAGTTCGTGACTGACCAATATTTTTATGGCTTCATTATATTTTGCCTTTTCTATTATTTATGTGTATTCACCTTGTTTCGTTAAGGTAATAAAGACAGGTGGTTAAGTTTTCCCCTAATGGTATGAGCAGACCTTACTTTTTTATTTAAACGAAACAGGATGAATACATCTCATTTATATGATCCACTGTTAGTCTCGAAAACCAACTTATAAACGAGAAATTAACCTTTTTATCCTGTCTATTAGACATTTTTTGGTTAATATCTAGGCATTATCTCCATTCTTATTCTTTCCATGCAAATTTTATTATCTATTTTTCTACATTTTCCCTTATGCCGTTTTCATCAAACTACTAGACTCAACGACATTTCTCACCCAAGCAACATCTTATCAAGGAGAAGAGAATTTCCAAAATGCATCGTCTCGTTCGTCTACAAAAAGTAATATCCTTAGCACATCTAGTATTGCATCTTCGCCATCCATCATCACAGGAGTGCTCAGAGAACAAAAGGATTGTAGGTTCTCACCTCTTTCATTCATGCTTGCATCTTTATCATCCATTAGGTCATTTTTTTAACAGCTCCACGGTTTGGTTATGACGAAAATCCGCAAGTCTCTGGGAATTTTGTTAATTCTGCATCCTGACACCTAGCTTGATTCCTTATTCTAGCCGTCTGTATATTTTACCATACAAGGCCTTTAAATATAATAAGTAAGTGAACCCTTAAGTAGTCTACTCTTTGTGTCAAGTGTTCCATACGTGCTACACTTCCTTAGAAAAGGTTTGTTTAGTTTTACTTTTCTCAATGATACTTTGACGATACTTTTGGCAAGTTTGCCCGTCAAAAAACAATCTTCAAAGACAACTAGGCAGAAAAGTGCCTTCCCAAGCCACAAACTTTATAATACCACTGAAAATATGTCTTTAAACAGCCTGCATTAATAATTGACCACTTTTAAACCAGAAATTTTCTTCTGAATCACCTTGCCTCTTACCTCAGATAAATTATTTTCCTCAATTTCTTCACTTTTCACATTTCACTATCAAGTGAAACTTGAAACAAAACAGGAACCCAGCTTTCATTCAAATTGCGTTTCTGGGATCGCCGATGCTGGATCGCTATTCTGCTCTAGTGATAGTCTACACAGCAACCAAGTGGTCATCGCTAATAGTGCTGAGCTAAGCTGCGTTGGCGGTATGAACCACAAAGCCACTTCTACCACTTTAAAGCTATATGAACGTCGATCCAGCCTCAACAGTTCTAATGTGTCCGAGCTACGTTCTTCTCGCTCTTCGTTCTCCGATTTGTCGATATTTGCCAAGAACTCACACCTCCTTACCGACTTGAATTCAGATAGCCCAAAAGCCAACGATTCAGAAATCGACTCGTCGAGCACCATGGGTGACATTAAAAATAACTTTTATGAGGTATCAGTGAAGATGGCTAGTCATGCCTGGAGGGGGATGAGGGATGCATCGTCTTGGCGAAGGAATATTTCTCAAGATAAGAATGTAACCCTGGTCAAGCTAAAGTTGCGACAAGCTCAGCTTCGTCGGTCGAGGTCTCTTGAAGGGCTTAACGGTAGGAACTTTGGTAAGGGATTCTTATTTTTTTATCATTTTATTTATAATTGTATTCTATAAACTTAGGACAAGTGATCACTTGTTAAAGAGCGAAAAGTTAGATAGGCTGCTTTCAACTCTTCCTTTGGATGCTTTATTATCCGGTTGTTAATTTTATTTCAGAATTATAACTATCTTTCTTCCAAGTTGTTTCATGATTGTAGTATACTAAAATTGGATGAAGATTTACGCAGCCTTTGCTTTTGAAATGATAATCTTCTGCCTCTGAAAATCTCGACTTTACATAAAATTATAAAGTTCCAATTTCTCACAATAGTTCGATGCCTAAATAAGCCAGCCTTTAGGATGTGCTTTTAGGCATAATATTTGTATACAATGTACTAGTTTGAAGAAAGACAACTTTAAATATATATAAGATCTATTCACCCTATTTCGTTTAAGGTGATGATGGACTGGCAGTAGAATTTTCCCACAATGATATGAGTAGAGCTGACATTTCCAGGGAATTTCACATAGCCGTGCCTTTCCAAAAGTTGTTCTCTTCAAAGAGGGACTGCAGTTTCGACCTCGCCTAAGTCTTATCAACACCCCCAGTGGGAGTCGAACCGTGACAGTACAGCATGGGAACTTGACACGTTAACGACTCAGCCAGATTG